GTGTTTCTCTTTATTATTTATTTCAATATAGTGGTGTTTCTCTTTAATTGTTATTTCTAATATTAGTGGTCGTTTCTACTTTGTAATTACTTATTTTCTAATATAGTGGATGTTTCTCTTTATTATTATTTTCAATATAGTGGGTGTTTCTCTTGATTATTATTTTCAATATAGTGGGTGTTTCTCTTTATTATTATTTTCAATATAGTGGGCGTTTCTCTTGATTACTATTTTCAATATAGTGGACGTTTCTCTTTATTATTATTTTCAATATAGTGGGCGTATCTTTTTATTATTATTTTCAATATAGTCGACGTGCTTTAACTCTCCTGTTGTTTATCTATATAATTTTCCCATGTATTTTTGTTTCTAGTAGAAGTAACTGGAGCTTGTTTGTTTGTCTTAGAGCAATGCTGCATTGGGCTATCTGCTATGTCCACCGCGGAAAATCGAACCCCGAATTTTAGCGTTGTAAGTCCGCAAACTTATCGCTCTTCAACCGGGGGACGTTACTGGTGTTAATACGGGTTTTGAGGCCCAATTAAGTTTTCAAATTATGGTAAAATAAGCTTCAACTCTTCACAAAACAATGCTTTTGACAAACAAACTTCTGTTATTTTTGTTTAAAGGTGAATCAACGCTACTGTATGGTACACAGAGGCTTTGAATAACTTGTAGATTATTAAACCTGGTACAGAACTAATTATATTACTGTACAAAATTTTAAATACAACTATATATAAACGAATTTATGATAAAATGCTAGCCTTTCATTCAAAAAGCTTAATTGTATAAACACAGATAACTAATGACCTTACCATCAGAGCAAGTGGGACCGGTGAATGACGTCATATCGCAGTCGCAGGTGTAGCCATTCCATAACTGAACACACACACCTTTGTTAGCACATGCGCTGTTGCTGCATTTTGTATCGGCTCCTATAAAAATAAAGCATTATATAGTGAGTAGTACCTTCGTCGTATATGAACCGATTTAGTAGTCTAAAAAACTCAACCATACGTGGTGTTTTTCTTTTATTAACTACAAATTAATTGCATAAAGTGATGTTGATATTGTCATAATTGTGAATATTCTAAAATAATTTTGCAATAACTTCCTCGAAAATACGGTATTTCTTGAAAACTTATTACACATCAATGATATGTATCATACAGTTTATATTAGTTAATGATTATCAACAGTAGCTACATTGAGACGAAATAAACAATTAATATTTGGTATAACTGAAAAATGTTACTTGGTTTTACATGCGTAATATGCATACTTTGCACCACTTTCATATTTTAAGTGTTTTACAAATTTTTATAAACATGTAAAGCTAAATAGTTGTTCCTTCAAAACAATGCTTGACTATTAAATCCATTCAGATTTTTCCTACTATAGAGATTAGGTTAACATGAACTGGTTTTCCGTTGCAGATATAATAGGATATATTGATAACCAAAACGTTAATTGTAAGTAATTGAATGCTGAACTTGAAAAGGTTTAGAGATGGAAATATTGTGGATAAAACTATTACTGAAACTATTTCCTCTATTTATATTGTTGCATAAACTGGAAAAAAAAAACTAAGAAAAGGTGCTGTTTCTTTCCAAGATGGAAAAACATCACAAAATTAGTCACGTTTCTATGTATATTATAATTATGTTTTATTTAAATAAACTCGATAAAAACTGAAATGCTAAAATTTATTATGACCTTCAATTTCATGTATATTAATTCATATTTTTCAGCATATTTCAAATTGTAATTCAGACCCTATGAAATATAATCATTTTAAATTGCAACTGGATAATAAAAAATTTTATCTTTAACTTTTAATCTAACTTGTAATTCGGATATTTGCAACTGATAACAATATAGTAGTCTTAGATTACAACTGACAGAAAGATTTATGAGACCCCTCCCCTTTTAAAGCTAGAAGAGCAGTAGAGTGGGGATAGCGAGAATTTAACAATTCAAAGGGCTCTGTTTAACAACGTGTATAGGTTCGATTTGGGCCGGCATGGCCAGGTGGTTACGGCACTAGACTCGCAAGCTGAGGGTCGCGGGTTCGAATCCCCGTCACACCAAACATGCTCGCCCTTTCAGCCGTGGGGGCGTTATAATGTGACAGTCAATCCCACTATTCGTTGGTAAAAGAGTAGCCCAAGAGTTGGCGGTGGGTAGTGATGACTAGCTACCTTCCCTCTAGTCTTTCTCTGCTAAATTAGGGACGGCTAACGCAGATAGCCCTCGTGTAGCTTTGCGCGAAATTCAAAAAAAAAAAAACAAGGTTCGATTTGACTTGCAGCTAAAACCTACGTTCAGGACCTCCAGAGTACTATGGAATTCAGCTCAAAACCATGACGATAAAAAGTGGTAACTCATGATAAGACATTATCACTGGTCTTATTTCTCGCACATAAGATTTTTTTTAACAAAGAAATGTATAATAAATGAATTACAGGAATATTCTTCAAGACAGTTTCTTTGCGTATCAATTATTATAAAATTTTGATATTCATTTTAACTCGTGTCGGTTAGGCATGTACTTGAATATTTAGTCACTTATATCTGGTTTTACCAGTCTAAAAGAAAGGCCCACCTAAAAATTGAAGTTATGTAACTTACCGGCGCATCCGTCTGACACAAGAGTACTAGGAATAATAGCGTCAGCAATAGGATTCACGATTTCACCGTTCAGATCCAAAGAAGCTAGGCATCCTTCGAATCCGTGTTTTGACTGTACCAACTTGGGCAGGTTATTATACGTGCTTCTTCTAACTCCACCCAGGTACAGAAGTCCATCTAAATCCAGATGAACATTGGATCCCACACTGGTCACGGTGGCGATCATGTCGTCGACCATTAAAGTATGTTGACGTAAAGATTGCCGTCCAATGGTCACCGCATGCCATTTATTGTCATTCAAGGTCCGCCGTGTATTTGACCTTACTTTTTTGGGGCCGTCTCCTAGGTTAAAAATGTAGTCAAGATGTCCGTTCACTAGCTCTATAGCAATAAAGTCTTGTTCTTTACCACTATTGTAAAGAATCAATCCGTTTGGCTCCAGTGTCTTAAACTGAAAGTATAAGTTCATGGTGGAGTAAGCCTTCAGCTGAGAAATTCCCAAAAACGTGTTCTTGGATTTAAATGTAACGGGATGATGGACAATTTCTTCTTTTTTTCCAAATTTAGCTGTAACCTGCAACGTCGAAAACAATCCCCTCGTTTTAATGTTTTTGTGACTGAAGGCCAATAGATGTCATACATTAACAAGAAACAATAACTGAAGGTAGGTTTTGCATTATTTTGTTATGAAAAATGTAATTTAAAGTAATAAACTGAAGCTTGGAAGAAACAACAAGTTTAATAGAACCAATATTTTGAAATAATAATTAGTTAAAGTTAATACATGAGAAGTCTACTTTATGTATGTTTGGAATATTAATGGAGTATCATCGGAAATGCTGGAATTACGTTACGACACAATGCTTTAATACTCACGACAATCATAAGCAAACACCACATCTATTCCATTTAGATTAAGTACACATGAAATTTCATAATTTAGTGCGAAATGTAAGCGAAAAAGTGAAGAAGATTGTCACTGAAAGCTTTTCAAACCTGAAAGTTTACTAGCTGTCCAGTTCTAGCCATCTCAAAGAACTGATCGCCATTGAACAACAGTTTTTGCATGTGACCTATAAAGTTAGGAACATCTCTGGTTTGGCTTTGTGGAGAATAAACGGGAATACCAGAAGGAATATAGGCACCAATGTGGAGGTCCTGGAACTCCAGTGTCATCTGGTGACCGACTAGTTCTAAAATTGAGAGAAACATACTATAATATATAATTTGGTAATTAGACCCTAATTATTTGATTGTACGTACATATATTTGATATTCTCAACTTAAATAACACCTTATGCGACGCATAGGCTAAATGACCAGGTCAAAGGCTCCAAGAACCAGACATATTCATTCCTAATTTTGAACTGCTAAGCAGAGAAAGGGCAACTAGCCCTTAGCACTCGTCTCCTACATGGCTACACTTAACATAATAGCAGGATTAGCTGGTTCTCTCATAACAAAGGTGAGAGTACAGAGCATGTTCAATGGCATATCAAGTTTCGAACCTTGGACATTTTTATTTGTCTAAGTACAAATATGACACACAGAAAAATACATTTCTATATTGTTATTGTGTGAACGCTTTTAAGAATGTAGAGTTTAAAAATACAATAAGTCTAATAATGTTGTCTTGTGACGAGCATAATCGATCATTCATATTTATGTATTCAAATTTCCACCAAAAGAAATAAGAGCCTTCTTTTCTTTGAACTTCGTGGTTAGTACGAAATAACTATGTATGCAGACAGAGTAAAGCTAAGTGAGCATCCACATAATATTTTATGTACATATGAACGTCCAGTTTTGTAGAAAATAAGAGACAATACTATTGTATTCTGGCCCTGTTTTTCCAAATTCAAGAATTTGTGTTTGCTGAGGATTATGTTATATACAGGTCTACTGTCAGGGTATGACAGGTGTTTTTTTTTCCTCCTCAAATGAAGTGGCTTTTATGCTTATGTTAGGAAGCTAGCACAAGGTGGTATGTGTATTCGTTGGATTGTATTAACATATCTGAAAACAGAAACACAAAACTAATTTGAAAGGTACCACGTTTCCAAAAGCAGTCATTTTGGTGTTTTCATTATATCACTAGAGTACGTTATTAAACCCTATGTTATTTTCAGAATTACGTAAGTCGCATTATTTCTATTAGTAACCATACAACTTATAAATCACAGTTGAATTGTGAGATTTATTCTGAGTCTACATTAAAATGAGTAAGAGACCAATCTGGGTAACATTTCTTAGCCGGTGGAGATTCTATCGAACATCACTTCTTCAACTTATGGTATGATATGTATGTATATATTATCATCTTTTCGGGTATAACTAAAGGACTCTTCCGGATATTAAGGTATGAAAATTTATTTCTAATTTATTCATAGTGGCGGGCCTATATTCAATTAGTAAATTAATATATTATTTCGTATAAGATGCTACAGAAAACCTACTAAGTTACGCTAACAACCAAACTCTTCTAAGTATTATTTTCTTTCTTTCTAATATTTGCTAGAAACCATTACTTTGTTTACCAGTTATGTATTTATGTCGTCAAGGTAGCTTCAGGTAACCTTAACAACACTTGTTTCTATGAAACCACAACTTCACTTTTAAAAGAACGATTCTTTCCCTCTTACAGTGTATTGACTCTACTTTAAGTTCGTTACAACAAAATCACCACTTTTATAATTCTAACGTTTTTACCTCCACTGAGCGTTTCCGAGTCCACCCTGACCACCAAATTATGGCCACGACGAATTATTTGCAATGTGTGCCACTGGTCATCATTTAATCTGTTTCCCACGTGGAGCAGCTGAAATAATGGAAAATTTCTCATTTAAAACTAGTACAACTTTGTTTGTTTTGTGGTAAAAACCTCTCCTATATCAAACTATTAGATAACACACAAAAATCCATCTGTTTTACCTTATTTCCGTCTCCTAGATTCAAGATAACTTTGATCCTGCCAGATTCCAATGCTACCACCAGATGGTTGACTGATTTTTCAAGTGTTGTTGCCAATAACAGGCCACTTGGTCGAGTTGTTCTAAATCTCAATCGAATGTCTTCGGCCTGAGTTCGAGAAATTTCCGGAATTTGAATATTCATGTATTGTTCTCCATCAAAGCTAAGTGTTGTAGCATCTGAAACAGATATGGAATTGTGATTTTTTAAAATCCACAACATATTGTAACTGGCTGTGTGACTGAAAATAACAATGTTAAAACGAAATAAAACTTTTATTAATACTTACATCGATGGTCATTTAAACCAGTCCTTAACAGGTTCATTAGATGCTTTAAACGTCGCTATTAAAAACATTGCATAATAACACTTAGATCTAATTTCTTCAGTGTTATATAATAAACCGTCTGTCATAAGACGTTAGATGGCAATAAGAAAATTAATATAAGGAAGAAATCCACCATTTTCACAGTAAACTCAGAGAATATTTTGTTAATGAATCTACAAAAGGATCCACACAAACACACTCACAAACTCAGCTTAGTTTATTGTGTAACTTCAATGATATCTTGCCAGCAAGCTTAAAAGTTTCAATTAACATATTAACTTCCACGTGTGTCTCTGTATTATAACAAAATCAACATAAAACGTATATATAAATATAATTGTTTTTACAAACATTATCATTGTTCATATCCGATATAATGTGCCATCTTAAGTTCTGAAACTAAAATACAAAACGTATAAGTATTTTCTGGCAGAAGATCAGTTAACGTTTTTGTATATATCTTATGAGCTCAGTGTTAAACTGACTTCACAGAGGAGCTTCTACGTGGCGTCATGTGTTTGAATTTTATTATTAGCAAGAAGTTTTGATTGGCGGGAAGTATCTATTTCTGAACAGAAATATATTCTTTGATAATTTATGCATGTGAAAGATTTTTACTCTCGGACAGACGCCTTGAATGTTCATGTTCCTTCTTCAGGTCCAAGTATCCCGAAACATCATTATAACATAATATTTAAAGCTAGATGTCCCATAACAAAAACCTCCCACTTGCGATCCATGTCTCTCAAACAACAACAGTTGAAAAAGCTTCATCTACGTTAAACTTCAGTACAAATTACGGCGTGGTTCCTTGTTTAAATTATATCATTTCTGGTCTTGACAAAAAATGCAAACCAATGTTTATTAACTAAGCAAGTGGAAAATGCATAACAAACGTATCCTTAACCAGCTACTCTTCAACAGACGAAAACATCATCTTATTCAGCGGCCTCTGTACAAACCTAGCGATTTATCTTATGACGTTGGGGATTAAGATGATAAGCTGAATGAAGACATTATAATTAGTTTTTACGTGGTATTACAATCTATAGTTTGAGAACTGACAGATCTTTCACAAAATTTTAAAGAGACCTAATCTATTTCATTTGGACACATAATAGCTCATTAACTCTTTACGCTAATTGGAAATGTCGTATTTTATTAGCATTAAAACATAAGCAGTTAAATCATACAATGGTTTACATTAATATCTATAATTTTCACTGTTGCGTTAACTAGAGTACCCCATTTTAGGCATAAAATACGGTCGTAATACGACATACAACAAAGTCATACAGGTAAATAAACCACATGATTTACATCATAATCAAAAGCGACTACCACATTGTATTTACCATGCGTATCACACACTTGGGAAGAACTAATTCACCGCAAAATGAGGACACGTTACAAAAGTTCATTTACATGGATTAATTACTGTTCATGGGTAATACGTGTCTTGCATTAAAGAAATTTGTATGCCTTACAAAATCAGAGAAGCTTATTAAAACTGTAACAAAATTTGTTATCAAGCTCACTTAGTCTGATGAATTAGCCTACTTCATTAGACTTTTCTGCATTACACGTAATTATCAGTTCTCGTCTATAATGTTAATAAGAAATACTTTACTGTTAACTAGTGAAATAATTATAATATATCTCACTGTGTTCAAGTAAAATGAACTACGAGAAATGATATAAATAGAATGAACTACGAGGGACGATATTAGTAGAATAAACTACGAGAAATGATATCAATAGAATGAACTACGAGAAATGATATCAATAGAATGAACTACGAGGGATGATATTAGTAGAATGAACTATGAGGGATGATATCAGTAGAATGAACTACGAGGGATGATATTAGTAGAATGAACTACGAGGTTTGATATCAGTTGAATGAACTAAGAGGGATGATATTAGTAGAATGAACTACGAGGGGTGATATTAGTAGAATGAACTACGAGGGGTGATATTAGTAGAATGAACTACGAGGTTTGATATCAGTTGAATGAAATTAGGAGGGATGATATTAGTAGAATGAACTACGAGGGATGATATTAGTAGAATGAACTACGAGGGAGTATATCAGTAGAATGAACTAGGAGGGATGATATTAGTAAAACGAAATTCAAAGAATGATATTCCAAAGGGAAGAAACCAAATGAAGCCCACGAGATTGTTAAATATCAGGTATAAATGAGAGAACTGTTCGTTTTTTTTATTTATTTCCTATTCTAAATCCTGTTTCTTATGATAACTAATATTATAATATCAAATTCAGATTGCTTATGTATGGAAAATTAAGTCTATATATTACATATAAATTGGTTTCAACAAAGAATATCGTTAAGGAAAATCATAATATCTAACATGACAAAGTTAACATGGACGCCATTTCAAAAAGTAGGTTCTAGGTCACTGATAAATTGTTTGTAGTTTTTGCTGTGTTACTTTATCATTATTATTTATATTAGGAAATAGTGACTAATACAATCGCAAAAGTAAAGTTGCAAAGTAGAAAGTTAAGAAACAACAATCAAGTTCAAAACGGTTGGAACTTTTTTATTTGTAATAACAAGAATTAAATTCTGAGACGAAAAGTAAATATTTTAAATGTGTTTTTTTTTCATAACAACGTTAACGCCCCCCAGTGGCACAGCGGCATGTCTGCGGACTTACAACGCTAGAAACCGAGTTTCGATACCCGTGGTGGGCAGAGCCCAGATTGCCCATTGTGTAGCTTTGTGCTTAAGTTCAAACAAACAAACGATCTTTTAGTTTATGAATGTTTTACTTTTAAATCATTGAATTATGTGAATAAATTAAAAATAATGAACTTTTCCCATTTTGTATTTGGTCAACAAACTTTGGAAATATATATGTACAACATTATATTTTATATTCATGATACGGATGTTAAGTTGAAATACTTTTTCAAAGATAAAATGTCGATCGCAATATTCAGAATGAAATCAGCGAAACTTATTGAAGAATAGATACATGATAGCATCAGTCGTTCGGTAACAATAGTGATCTGCGTAGATGTAATCTCTTTATGTACAGTCGTACAATATTGGCAAATGTATGTGCTTGGTAAGGATAGCATAGTATCCATGCTCCGCTTCTCTCACCATTGATACATCTAATGGAAAGTTATTTATTATCCGAGTATTAATAGAGTTCAGTGTAGAAAAGGATTTGTCGTCTTTACTTCTCTGAAGTGTGGAAATAATCCATAGGTCCACGACTTACATGATCGTCTACTTTTGTTCCGTCACGTTCTGGTTTTAACCGTCGTTGTCCGCTGGCCACAGTGGATACGTTATTGGATATCAAATCGATCAGCACAGCTCTGAAATCTTTACAAACCTTATCGTTTTCTTATTCCTTTTTTTTTCACTTACGAAATACTATCAAACTGTTCTATAGGGAAAATGTAACATAGATACCAAAATATGTTACTTCTTTCATGGGCTTAAAATTCTTCTTGTTTTCATTATTGTTTGGAAAATGTCATAGTGTGAGCGATTTTAGAAACATATATAGGTAGACAACATTCGTAAAATACGATAGAAATATAAAAATATACACCCAGACACAAGAAGATTTAGCAAAGTTTAGCAAGTATGTGATATAATACCATTTTGACCACAGTTTTAGGACTGGTCTTATACCAAAGCTTCAGATTACCAAGTGACTTGAGTTCAGATACTTAGTGGATTAACACAAATTAAATAGTCAATGTACGTCTTTATCAATAATGCTGGAACGAAAACACCATAAAACGAAAAAATAAAACTGTGAGAATTTAAGATTTCTTTTTAAATTTCAGTCAGTATTTCTTCACGATTTGTTTCACCTAAATAGTATCCACTTGTGTTTGATTAAGTTTAGGTTTCGTTTTAGAATATGAACATGATTCAATACGCTGTAAGAAAAGCCAAAGAAAAATGACAACATTTCGACGAAACGGCCTGATTACAATAAAGGTTATATGACTAAGACGTTGACAAATTTTTTTGTTACATAATTTAAAACATTTTAAATATTTTTGTGTTAATTGTGCTGTAATTGCATTTGTTAGTGTTACTCCTAGGTTATTTTAAGCATAGGATTTATTTCAGTCGATAAAGTTTTTTTGGCAGAACTGTTCGAAAAGAACATTATAGCTAGATTTCATGTTTAATAATTTTTAGTACAAACTACTTTTCTTCTACCAGTCCTTAACTTTTGCATAAACTCAAACACTAATGTGATGTATATCATTGTTATTATTTTGCATAAACTCAAACACTAATGTGATGTATATCATTGTTATTATTTTGCATAAACTCAAACACTAATGTGATGTTTATCATTGTTATTATTTTGCATAAACTCAAACACTAAAGTGATGTTTATCATTGTTATTATTTTGCATAAACTCAAACACTAATGTGATGTTTATCATTGTTATTATTTTGCATAAACTCAAACACTAATGTGATGTATATCATTGTTATTATTTTGCATAAACTCAAATACTAATGTGATGTTTATCATTGTTTGCAGAAATATTCTCTTTTTGAATCTTTTTCTGTGGTAGAATTGCTCTAAATTCAAATATTATAGTTGCGTTGTCTTTAATTATTCACCTAGAAAATGGACCAGGCGTGGCACACTGATAAGCGTGCTGGACTGTGAATCTGAGAGTCCATGGATCGCAACCCGTTTTTGCAAAATCGTGCATCACACTTTGGGGCTGTTTGTACATTATAAAAGTGACAATTAAATATCACTATTCGATTATAATACCCGAAGAATTGGCGATGGGTGCTGTTTACTAGCTGATTTCCCTCTTGTGGT